TGCGCTTTTTCAATATCAAGTTGGATTTCAACAACATCCTTCCGGAAGGAATCAATTCGGGACAGCGCAGGCGCGGTAGAAACGGATAGGTTTTTCCTCACCTCTTCTCTAGATTGTAGTCGTGGTTGACCTGCTAGAAGAACTGGTGAGCGAAGGCTGCTGGGTAACTACCTACACGGATGATGTTGCACATTTAGCCAGGGATATATTTTTAGATATCCTCTATGGTTTGATACAAGGGTAATTGAAGTGACTCTATCAGCAATAGGAGGCATTCCCCGGGCGATTTCTGACAGAATCAAATACTTGGGATTGAAGAAAGAGTGATGAATGTATCATTGGCTTCGTGCTACTCCAGCGAGAGTCTAAAAAAATACACCAAACTTTCTTATGCTGGGATAAATCTTATTTTGAACCGAAGAAAGGTGGGGAGGTTGGCTGCGATTAAGGTTAAGATTAATATTAAGAATAAGAATAAGATTAAGATTAGCATTAAGATTAAGTTTAAGATAGGATTAAGATTAAGATTAAAATTCAGATTAAGTTGAGGACTAAGATTAAGACTAGGATATGCATTAAGAATAACATTAAGATTAAAATTAATATTAGGACTAAAATTAAGATTAAGTATAAGTGTAAGATTATGATTAAAATTGAGAATTAAATTAAGATTACCATTAAGAGAAGCACTAAAATTAAAATTAGGGATACGATCAGGACTAAGATTAAGATTAAGACAAAGATTAAGATTAGGATTAAAATTAAAATAAAGATTAAGGCTAAGATTAAGATTAAGGCTATGATTAAATATAAATTTAAGATCAAGGGATTAAGATTAAGATTGAGAATAAGATAAAGATTAAGATGAAGATTAAAATTAGGATTAAAATTAAAATTGAGATTAAGGATATAACCAGGACTTAATGTAAGATTAAGAATAAGATTAGGACTAAGATTAAGTTTTAAATACTAAGATTAAAATCAATAGATTAAAGTTTTAATATTAATATTGATATTGAGTTAAAGATTAAGATATGTAAATGTATATTTAGTTTGGAGAAGAGTTTTACTTCTACACAACTTTTTTTCCTTTTTTGTATGCAGAGTGAGGCAGTCTAATGTAGGCATAGGATGGCATTTTTGCGTATGAACTCAGTGTACATACTCATATTCGCCTCGAGCGAATTGTATAACTCATTTCAATTAAAATTTATTGAAATTGATACATTCCACTTGTCAATGAAGTAAATGTAATAATAAAATAAACTAAAAATTGTACAAATAGGCGAAAATTCTGCATATGCAGAATGCATAATTTAAATATTTTCCCGTTTGAAATTCAGACATAATTCTAATATTTGCCGCTTAACAAATTCATCGCTAACTAAATTTTTGCAATAAAAGTGAAATTATTATGTTGATGTATTGATTTATTTTTCTTTTGTTGTGCTCTCAATTGCTTTGGCAGCAGCTTCAGCAGCTTTTATATTGTTGGTCGGTCTACAACTGCTTGTTGGCGTTTGTTCAATTTTCAGCCAAAGATTTTTCTTTCCTCTTCTTTAAGTCTTTAAGTATTTTGTGTATTTTTAGCCTGAGCAAATGGTGGGCGTGCCAAATAGTTGTGCACGGTATTAGGGTAATATGTGTGTATGTATGTATGTATGTATATAGCTGCTTGGATGAGCAGCATGTGACGAATGATGTCATACCGAAAACAGTTAAACGGGGGAGGGGGAAGCGATGTAGCAGATATTAGATAGTGAAATTTGCGTATACAGTGAAACCTTGATATAACGAACTTGAAGAGGTTGGACAAATGCTTCGTTATAGCTATAGTGTCGTTATATTTATAGGATTTTAAAACCTCGATACAATTAATTTTGAAAAAATTGCGGATAGTTTCGAGACAACGAAAAATTCTAAATTTTGAACAAAAAAAAATGCGGATAGATTCGTTTTTTTTCGTTGACGGAACTGTAACTTTCAACATATTCAGGGACTTTAACTGTCAATATATGTATCGCGAAGGTTCTCATGTTCAAAATTTCTTCACTATGGAAGATATCTGTATGGAAAATTTTGCAACAACAAAGATTTTTCAGGGAACTCAGCAGAAATTTTATTATATTGCGTTTTCGTCTTATCAAGATTCGTTATATTGAGGTTTCACTGCATATGTATACTCGTTCAATAGATAGAAAACTTTTGTGTTGCACGTTCGAGATGCAAAAAAAAAGGAACAAAAACGGCATTGTGTTGAAAAGTGCCATCAAATTTGCGCGTATTCAACACAATTGTGCCAACGTAACCAAATCTTTCAACATAAGGAATGTTAAAGTGTTTTATGTGTTACTTTTATTACTTTGAATCATTTTTATTACTTGGCTAGTCTTAGTTTTATTAGATTCATTCGTGTATAAAAAACTGTGCGCACGTCTTAACTTTACCTTAATAGCTCCTCATTGTCGTAATTCAGTCATTCACCCGTTTATTTTTTACTTTTTTGATTTTGACTATTTAAATTTATTTGCGACACAATTTGGTTTGTGTTTTCCGAATTTGGCAACTAAAGATTTCGACAGATTTCTACATAAAAAGCACAAATGTTATTGTTGGTATAAAATGATAATGTTAGATATGAGTCGATCTATGTCATGTGTACACACATATGTATGTTTACCTTCATATACTTGATCAGAGGTTAGGAATTAGTCCAAAATCGATCGCGTAATCTTAAGCGAAATCTACTGAAAGATAGTTGTTTGTCATTTATTACTATTATAAAATTGGATTAATTACAATATCCCCCACTAAATTGTTTGAGTATTGATATCGCACTAAATTGGAAGTTGTGATTCAAACTAGCATTAATCGATGTTATCTCTTTGCACGAAATTTTAAAGGAAGCACGACGCTGATATGGAATTTTAGTAATTATTTTTTTTTTTTCAATTATCTGCACACCTCGCAAATACTTAAGAATAGCAATTTTAGCGATAGAGACAATATGTGCGGGTAGGGCAACAACTAGCGTCATGATTTTTATACGCACATTGGTTGAAAATTTATTTATTTTTTTTTTTGCAAAAATTCGCCTATGAATGCACAAAGACAAAATAGAGAGACTTTTAGTGTCTCACATTCACGCAAATATGTAACACCGTGTGATAAAAACCAAACACTTTCAAAACACTTGAAAAAATTAATAAGCTCACGAAACTAGGGGCCAAACTACGTTTTTCTCTCTGACGCCAGTATTTGTTTTAAAGGACTTTTTAATTAATGATTAATTCAAAAAATTCTGTTAAAAAAATTATTTAAAAAATTCAGTGCAATGTAGAATTAAAATTTGGGTACCAGATCTAAGCAAAAATCCTGTAGAATTAAAAAAAACATTGGGTCACAAGAACCTCTCTGACGTCAGTATTTGTTTTAAAGGAATTCTTAATTAATTATTAATTCAAAAAATTCAGTTAAAAATTATTATTTAAAAAATTCAGTGCAATGTAGAATTAAAATTTGGGTACCAGATGTAAGCAAAAATCCTGTAGAATTAAAAAAAACATTGGGTCACAAGAACGAATAGGAATTTTTTAAACTAATAAAGTTAGAAGAACAAAAGAACAAGAACGAAATATTAGACTTTTACATGTAACTTTATGAAAAATATCTATTGCAAATTTTCAAGGATGTTCAAGTAAAACATTTTAAAAGGACATTTTTAATACTAATTCGTCCTTGTGCAACAAACAATTTTTGTTTTTTTCAATTCTACAGCATTTTATCTAATATCCATATTATTATCCCATATTGCACTAAATTTTTTGAATAATTCATTAAATTAAAAATATCTTTGAAATTTCAAAGTCCTTTAAAATATCCTGATGTTAGAGAGAACAACTAAAACCGCAATTTTCGCCATAATATTGACTTTTTTGTGTGTAAAATTACTGTCGCACAGCGTTATAGTTACAAAGATCTTAAACTTTTTTTATATTTTTTCAGGAATTTTACACATTAGTTGTTTATCTGTATGAAAAAGTATCTTTCACTATTGTATAAGTTCCGACGACATAGTTACATATTTATAAGTTACAAGTGATCACAGTCTGCAGTCAAATGTAACACCAGGCAGAATGGAATGACCCACATCTGTATGTATATACAGTCACTCACAGAATTATTCATAATTTAGTTTTTTTACTACAATATCTATATATTCAAAATATTTTAAATCATAAATCTTTTTCCTTAAATTTTATTTAAAATATACCTCATTCTAAAACAAAACATATTTATCAATCTTGCATACTTTGTACCAAATTCACAAAAATTAATCAAACTTTAAAAAAATTTCAACAAAATTGGCAATTTTTTATTTTGAGTTTTTAGAAAATATTCGAGTAGTTAAAAATCCAAGTTTCAAGTAGTTAAAAATTACCGTTGGTTTTTGAGAATTTTTATTGTCGAGGCTGTACTGTAGCGCATATTCTTCCATTCTAAAAAATCCAAGGTAATTTTTAGCTACTTGAAACTCGTGTGTTTTCTAAAAATTCTTAATAAAGAGTTTAAAATTTCGATGAATATTTTTCAATGTTTAATTATTTTTGTGCATTCGATGCAAAGTCTTTGTTATTAAATGAACTATATTTTAAAAAAATATAACGAAAAAGATTTATGATGAAAAATATTTTGAATATTGTGAAAAAAAAAACTAAATTATGAACACTTCTGCGAGTGACTGTATGTATGTACAGAAATTAAAGTGTTATTGTTGTGTTCGCCACTTTATAAATCTTTATTTTTAATTAATGATATTTTTTCATGGTTGACAGAAAATCCGAGGATTTTATTGTTTTAAACGAAGCGATAAGCAGCAAAATTGATACGGCCCTCGCATAACTTCGATTGTCGCACTGTGAGGCTTACATATGTATTTCATTGCTTACAATTATTTATTCTTTTATATTTAGCATGTATGTATGAATTTGCATATGTACCTAATTTCCATTTAATAGGCATTTTATGTGCTCACAATTTAATCGTTTTTAACACAACACAAAATAAGTATTCAGAGACACGCCGAGTAAATATTTGGTTAGGCTCGCCGACCCTACTGATAACACTTTTGGCAAACTTGCTCGCTCTTGAACACAAAAAAACTCAAAAACTGCAAATACACTTGTGCCTTAGGAACGCAATTTGCATTTGAAAGCAGCGTTTAACACCATTTTTATGAATTTTACTAATTTACTTAATTAGTTGCACCAATTTTCCGTGAAAATGTTCTCGCACTCGTTCTAATGGCTTGGGCTTTGCAAAAACAATAACAATAACTAATGGAGCTGCGGAAGCCGGTAAACGGTATAGCCCAGGCATATTCGTCATTCGCCGGTTATGTAGTACACACGAACGAGTGAACTTCCTCTGCTATCAGAAGCAGTCAGAAGTGTGCGTCAGCCATATTGCTCTTCTAACAGCATCAAACTTCCTATCTTTGCGTGTATGGCATATCAAAACAAAAATCTAGCAGCAACAACAACAACCATTTGGAGATGGCTGCGAATTTGACGGTCAACATGTATGTATGTATGTATGTTTGTATGTGTTTATGTGGCAAGAGCAGCAGCAAAGAAAATAAAATAAAGACTTTTGCAACAAAAAAAAGAACGCTGATTTTTGCTACATATTTTTTAGATTTTTTATTCACTTTTTTGCAGCGGTTACTCGTTTTTCTATTTTTCGTACACTTGCTTTTGTTGTGATCTCGGTAATTAGAAAACAACTCGTTGGGGGCGTCAAAGATGAGTCGCACGTTATTTTCAACACTAATTAAGCAAATAATTTACTTTTTATGTTAAATAAATAACTAAGGAAAGCCATTTACGCAATACACTCTGGCAATCTTTGCATCAGGGAATTCTTTTACTTCACATTTTACAAATTACACTTTAATGATTTTTCACCAAACAACTGACATTCGGTTGTGGCAGCAACAGAGCACTGGCGCTGGGCGGCAGAGTGGAGCAAGCGAACGAGTGTGTGGTGGCCACAAGCAGGTCAGGCACATGCACACATGCACACAATCATATACACAGCATTTTCAATGTGCAACTTCAGCTCAAGCTTGAGCCTCTTTTTCTTTTTCTTATCGCCTCTACAGTGCATTTGCGTCTTCACTAAACTTGTAAGTTTTTGTAGGTATTTTATTTTTATATGCGTTTTGCTATAATCACCTTCTTTCTTCTTTGCGTCACATTCGTATTTAGTTGTTGTGCATTTGTTTCGCTTTATTTCTGCCGCATCAAAATATATTGCTTCTTTTATTTTATTTATGCTTGCACTACTTTATCGCTTGCAAATTTTTTTTAAACTACTAGCAATTTCGTTACTGTTGTACTGACTTTGCAAATAAGCACACACACACACGTACTCAACGTTATTCGCTTTGGATGTGACAGAAAAACGGCTCCACTGTCTGCAGTGGACTGGCGAAATGTCAGTGGAAACTTTTTTCATTCACTACACTTGTCTTGCCGTTCTGTCTATTCTGAATTTTTGGTGAGATTCGCTCATTTCCTGTTATACGTATACAGAGAGACAAGAGACTTCTCCCATAGAGTGGAGAGTTTAGTTCATGGGTAACATATAAAAAATAACGGTTTGTCTTTCACAACTTGAAAGTTTTTAAGTGTGTTTTTTTTTTTAATAATTTCGATTGATATCCATATTGCAATATCTAATTCATTTAATTTGTTAAATAATTTGAATAATTTTTTTTAACAAGAAAGGATGAAAGGTATCAAACAACCAATTGTATTTTTGAATTCAACATCCTCCCGTTTTTCATTTAAATCCGTGCATAATTGTATTTTGCCCACATTTTATATGGGTCCCCAGCACTGTGAGACGTCACGATTTTTTAAAAGGACTTCCAAATTTCAAAAATATAGATTAATTAAAAAAATAAAATAAAAATAACAGCGATGTAAAATAAGAAAATGGGTATCAAATGAAATATAAAATTCTGTAGAATTAGAAAAAAATAAGTCTATTTGTACACAAGGACGAAAAGTTATTGAAAATTCTTTTTTAGAGTTTTATTTTTTTAAGCTTATAAAGTTAGAAGAGCGAAATTGAAGGACGTGGTCTCAAAACTACACATTGCAAATTTTCAAGGATATTCAAGGATAGAATTTTAAAAGGACATTTTCAGTACCTATTCGTCATTATGCTCCAAAAAATTTTATATTTTTTATTCTATAGAATTTTTTCTTTTATATGATACCCTGCTGTTCTACATTCCACTGAGTTTAATAATTTTTTTTTTTTTTTAAATCATATCTTTAAAATTACAAAGTCCTTTTAAGAAAAAGCCTGACGCCAGAGTGAAAAACTAAAAACCTAGTCTTACTATTATTGGTGCCTTGTTTCGAGAATATATAGATTGTTTTGTATTTAGTGTACAAAGACCAGTTTTTGTGCTGATTCAGATACTAGGCATAATTTTGTAAGTCCTCATATCGAGCCTGGCTCGTGAATGAGCGCTGATCGCTCTTGTCAGGACGTTAAATGGACGCAAAGCATCGCAGCAGCACGACACTTCAGCTCGTCCGAATACTAGGCAGTAATCCACCAGAACTTTTCGACTGAAGCGGCTGTTGGTTGAATGGTTTAACCCATTAGCGCCCAGTGTTGGTTTATGTAGATTGCCACCCTAGTAACAAGCAATTAGCAAATTTTTGTATTTTTTATTACACAACTCGTTCCTGATTTATGAACGTCAGGAAGACATAACCCACTACTTAAGCTGGGACTCAAACGGTGGACCCCCAATCATCTGAGTGGTCGGCAATTGACAGTAATAATTCGAGAAAAAACTTCAAAATCGAAGAAAATTATGCAAATGGTCCCGCAGGGTGTTGTCTTCTCCGCACTTATGTTTTTATAAGTTCTACATTTGGAAGATCCCCAGCCATCAGAGGTAGGGAGTCTCGCTATTCTTTAAAAGGGGTCAGTTCGTAAATGCAACACTCAGTATTACTTCAAAAAATTTAACTCTTTTATTCATAAACTGTAGATCATACAATTGCCTTATTTTCGCAACTTAGTTCCAATTCGACACTTTACCGTGTTTACAGTTAAGAGATTTTTTGCAGTAATGCCGCCCATGCTGGCGACTTTTCGATATGGGTGTTCGAACTAGCTCGCTTCTTCACCTTAAAAAACCTTTCCCTCGCCCCTACCAAATCCTTGGCAACTACCTTCACTATCTGATTCACGTCGACGGAACAAGAATTCCGACTGTGAAATACACGAACTGAAGGTCGAGATCCAGGACGGTATACAACGATCACTGGACTCGATGCTGTATAGAAAGGCATTAAACGGCATACATAGAGAGGCGGTCACCACTTTCACTAAATCTCGCCTCAGGAATGACGTTTTAGGAGATCAACCACCACCTATTGCAGAGGACGAGCTTCAGCTGCCTCGCAAGACCCACGTTACTGCGGGTTTTGATATTGTACTTGCTATGTATGAGTCTCCGCTAGGGATGCAAACGATGCATCGATATTTTTGAAATATCGATAATATCGGTTCAAAATTCGATGTTTGCCATCGATGTTTACAATTTCCTAAAATCGCTAAATTGACGATACATCGATGCCAGTTTCAGCGATGTTTTAACATCGAATTATGCTCCTAAAATTTTTTGACTGGCCATGAATTTTTATATATTTTTCTTTTAAAAGGAACATTCAGAAATTCCGAGTTTACTCTTATCTTTCGATATTAAAAATGCATACTTAGTCATTAAAAAAGGACCGGGATCCCGTTGAAATTTCAATGAAATTGGGCCTTGGAACTTTTGGCCCTGCGAACTTATGACGGCATGCATTTCTATTCTATTTATAGGGAGGGAATGGTAAATAAATAAGGCAATAATTGAATTACGGAGAGTTGGAATTGAAAAGTATTAAATTTTCCTAACAAATCTCGAAACATCGGAAACCATCGATATATCGATGTTTTTCTGGCGATGTATTTTAAAATCGATGTTCATTTTTCCGATGCATCGAAACATCGATGTATCGATGTTACTCCCCAAAATTTGCATCCCTAGTCTCCGCATGGTATTAACCACCTCTTTACATGCCCACTTCAAAACCCACTCAATTAACAACCCTCTTCCTTAGGTGCGGTCAGACGAAACTGCATGTTAACTGATGCTAAGGATGATTAAATAACCGCTGCAACCAAAACTACAACGCTGAGCACTAGCAACTGACACTGGCAAAGTGCACAATTGTTTCCAAATTTCTTGAAGTTATGGCATTCAACTGATCAAATGTAAGTATCGGCAGCCAAACTCGTTCGCTACACGAGAATGATTTTCACTGATAAATCCTGAGGCACATCTATGTCCTCTACTGGCATACACACATAATTATTGAAGAGGTAGCACAAGAACGAACACAAACGTGGCAGAAGGAGTGCTTTTTTAATTCAACTTCTTCGCAGATGCAATTTGCATTTATGTACTTTTATTGGCAACACATTTTTTTGGCTTTCACGGCCAACTGACTAGAGAAAGCCGACGAGGTATCTTCCAAACCGTCGGCAACTATTTTGCAATTATTACGTATTCAATTATTACTATAAGAATGCCATCGATCCATGAAATACGTCAGGCATGCATGCATAAATACATACGAGTATAGTTGAAAAATATAAGTGCTTAGATATATACTTAAATGTGTGGTCCTTATTAATATTCATAACATGAGTTCGATCTAGAAAATAAATTCTGCTTTATTTTTCTACTTGTATAAGATACTTAGTAGGTAGACAGTCACATTATTTACAATGAAAATATTGTAAGTTAAAGGCTTGGAATTAAAAGAAATATGTATATTAGCACTACATATAATTATGCTCTAATAAAAATTGCATATCATTTATAAATATATGCTGTAAAACATAAATTGATATAGAAATCACTGAATAAAAAAATTCAAATTGCGTTACTCTACTATGTTATATAATTTAGTACAGACATAAGCGCTTTAGCATACCATATCTGAAGCTACATACATCGTACTTGGAAAACAATAGTATCATTGATAATTCTATGTTGAAATTTGCTTAAGTTGCCTAAAATTATACTACTTCCTTTAAATTCTATGATATCAATTTTTTCTTGTCCTCCGCAAGGTCACCTTCTGATTTTTTCGCTGCTGCTGCAGCCTTTTTATCACTGCCTTTGCCATAGAACATATCAAAGAAGAGCGCAGCGAACACTAATATCGCACCAAACCATTGTCTTGGTATCAGTACATTTCCAAAGAGCACTACGGAGCAGAGTACAGTAAAGAATTTACGCGTTGTTGTCACCACAGAGCAGGCTAGAGGTCCAAAATTAGCCACCATAAGAAATATGAATAGCTGACCAAGAGCACCGCAGAATGCTAGCATTGCCAAGTGGCTCCAAAGCTCAGGATGTCGTGAGGCAAAGTGGAAGAATTCTTTGGCTTCGCCTACAATTAAAGGAAATTTCGCATTTGTACACGAACGAAGATTTAATTAACTATGTGTTGTAAGTTTAATGATTTCACTTCACTTACCCGACAGTATTGCAGCAAAACTAACCATAATAGTACTCCAGAAATTCATAGCCAACATCATTTGTTGTCCCGAAGGTGCACTTGAAGCGCGCATTCTTTCCTGCACTGCGCCGGTCAAACCATCCATGGCTAAACTTAAGAAGAGCAAAATTTCACCTAAGCCTGTTGTTTCTTTGGGCAAGTGCGCAATTTGACTCTCCTTGTACATAAACAGCACCACGCCAACAACTATGGATGTTACACAAGCATAACGCACCCAGGAATAGGATTTGTGACTAAGTAAAACGCCTAAAATCATAACCGGTATTGGTTTTGCTGACTTGCCAACCACCTGCGTAGGATATGGCACCCAACGGAGCGCCATATTTGACGATACCATGGCCAATAAGTATGTGAGTGCGCTCACAGCATAGTAACCGGTATGTGTTTGATCCTCTTTCTTTGCCCTTTTAGCCCATAACATACCTGCGATATATATAAATTAATTCATTCATTGTTGTTCAATTAATGTATGCATGTATGCTGAGTAGTTAAAGTCTTGCAGCACTTTTACCTTTTGCAAAGACGAAATTACAAAAGCATTGTACCCAAACTAGTGCCAGCACATAGGTGAAACGCTCGCCCTTTTTTCCATCTTCGTTCGGTTCGTCACCATAACGTCCACGGGTAATTTTCTCTTGAACTATTCCGAATAAGAAGTAACAAACGAAAATACTTATGGAGTAAATAAGAAAGCGGCTTTTCTCTGGTATTATCATTTCGATGTAGTTGCTACACTGCGGGAATATAAAGCAAATTGGTTCTTTCTTCGCACTTGGTTTATGTTTAAATAGAAAAAAAAGAATAAAACCCTTCAATTGCTAGAGAGGATTAAACAAGAAATCTTCAATTATTGATGTACACGTCAGAAGTTTTTTCAAAGTTTTTTTGCTGCTACATTTGATAAACGGCGGTACGTCAATTTATGCGAATGGCAAAATCAGCTGTTTACTTCAGTGAACTTTAACGCTGCCATACACTGACAATTTGCCTGAGTTACCGGATGTCAAATACCAAAGCAGTGCGTTTCTGCAAATCAGGTATGATGTACCGTAACTTTTTGTAATTTTACGATAATAAAGAAGGCTTAAATTAAAAAGTCATTAGTGAAGCAAAGAAGAAATAGAAATTTTTGGAAATCGGGGACATTATTCCTATACGGAAGACTTTATCCCTTTGCTGTATAACAATATGTAATACATATTTAGTAATTCTTTGTCGAAATGTAAAAATCGTTGTTTTATGGGAAACAGCAAACTTTTAAAGTACGTTCAGTGGTGACCGGCACAAATGAGCTGATTGTGTCCGAAAAACTGACTGTGCTCAACACTGCGTGATCTTGAAATCGACAAATAGTCGGCGAGTGTCGATCCTTTTCTCGCAGGTCTTTTCCAAGATTTGGTGTATTGCGAATACCTGGTCTATGGTGGATTTTTCAGGTCTAAAGCCACACGCACGATAAGATCCTGTAACATATGCTTAGAAGGCTGACCCCGCGGTAGTTGGCGCGAATGGCGGCATCGGTTCCAGTCGTCGATCATTTGTAGCTTCAGTCAATAGTATTGACCAGGAAACTCTGAAGCGCTGTAATTCACAGACTACAACTGACAACTACTGCGTTATTCCACTTCCAGTGTTATTTAAGAAGTTTAAGGAATGTGGTTTTAACTGTGAAGGCAAAGCAGCGGTTTATACTAAATGGTTGTCACTTGACCACATCAAAGCATCAGCATGGTTTCCGTAAAGTGCACAGTACAACAACAGCACTTAACGCTATAAACACTCAGATAACTCGTGGCCTTAACCGAAACCGTCCCTGTGAGAGAACGATTCTAGTAGCGTTGGACTTGTCATAGGCGTTTAACACCGTCTGCCATTCCACGCTACTAGAAGATATAGAGGCTTTCCCCACAGAGGCTCAAACGGTGGTCGGCAAATTATCTGAGTGGTCGACACTCGTCGGTAATGTTTAGAGACAAAACGAGTAAATTCAGAAAAATAAAACAGGGGGTTCCACAGGGTGGTGTCATTTCCCCGCTACTGTTTAACTTTTATATTTCAAAGCTCCCTCAACCACCAGAGGGAGTCTCGATTGTCTCTTACGCCGACGATTGCTCGATCATGGCGACTGGGAATGGAATTGATGACCTGTGTTCGAAAGTAAACGGGTATCTCTCCGAACTTTCTCGCTTCTTTACTGCAAAGTGTCTAGCCCTCTCCCCTACGAAATCCTCTGCGACCCTGTTCACAACCTGGACGA